AACTCTGTATAGACAACCTAAAGACACCCTTAGGGTTTTGAAGCAATTCCATCATCCGCAACTCAAAATCAAGAGGCGAACACATCAATGTGATCCTTACGACATAGGTAAGACTTTGTCATCCCCCTTTCTCCTTATAACTTGAGTTTTGGAAAGAATTTCGTGGATAAGGAAGCTTGTAACCTCTGTATTTTATCCAGACAAGCATAAGTAAACAAGTTTGGAAGTAAGAACACAAGAGGTATGTAGGGTTTTTGTTTTGTTTTCGGCATGATTTGGTTTAGCTATGTTCTAGCCTTTCTTCTTGGTCTTTTAGGGGTTGTTCAAGGGAAATATCGTATTTATTATATCCTTGTATATTATTCAATTCCATATGTGAATTATGGAAGGAAATATCTTAGATTAGAACTTCAAAACACAACAAAAACAAAAGGGAAAATCGCCAATTTGGCTTATGTCATCCGGACATCCGTTTGTTCCGTTCCTTTGATGTTTTTATGTATACCCAACCCCCATATGATACTAATAGCTCAATTTAAGATTTTATAAGCTTAATTGTCATGTGTTGATGCTTATATTATTCTTAAATCATATTTCAATTTTCATGTCACAAGTTAGCCAATATGGGTCGGCATTACATTCAAAATTCTGTTTTGTCGATCGTTTAACACTATTGTGGATAACTGGATCTCCTTTAGTTTGATGTTATCATTTTGGTCGGGTATCCATTCCCGTGTATATTGTAGTGCTTTCTATTATTTTTGGGGATCATCCAGTTTCAGGGAAAACTCTACCGAAAATTTTGAAAATTCGAAGAGTTGGACAAATCTTGAGTTCCTTGGTTCTAAATTAATTATAGAGGGATCCTAATGAGTTAATTAACCTTAGTATCTCATGTACATACTCAAATTCTCCCTAAAATGTGGATAGGCTCCTCCATCCAACTTATGGACGACGAGCGTCATATTACGTTTGTGATTCCATTTATGGTTTCCTTCATAATTTCTTGAGTCCATATGATGTTGCCACATGTGTAATGCCTCATACATGCTTACATTGATTGTGCTGGAGATATAGCCTATAACACTAGCGAGGCCTACTGATTATATGATGGGGGAGATAGCCCATAACACCAACGAGGCCTATTGATTATAGGCTGGGGGAGATAGCCCACAACACCAGTCGGCCTATTGATTATATATTTACATGCTAGGGGGATATAGCCCATAACACCAGTCAAGCATGTTATATACGCGTATATAGCTACAGTTTGCATTGCATGACTATACTTTAGGCTAGCTCAATTTTACAGTTACCTGATTAAGGGGATATAGCTCATAACACCAGTCGGGTACCAGTTCAGATAATTGTTCAGTTTCAGTACAACTTCAGCTTAAACTTCGATTTAATTCCATATCAGTTGCTAGTCCAGACTCTTATTTAGCTTTCAACTTATATTGAGATTTACATCTTATAGTCATACTTTAGTATGCTTTACATAGCTTTCCACCTTGCATACTTTATACATATCGTACTCACGTCCCTTCCGGGGTGCTGCGTTTCATGCCACGCAAGTACAGATAGATCAGCGTTTGAACCACATCAGTAGGCCATCCACCAGCTGTTGGAGTCACTCCACTTACTCTCGGAGTTACTTATCTTTTGGTATGTGTACAGTCAGCTAGTTTGGGTATGACAAGCCCATTTTCCATCCAATACTTTTTCAGTTCAGCGCTCCTAGAGGCCTGTAGATATGCATAAGTGCAGTTAGTAGGTTTTTATATGTCAGCATGTGTTAGCCTTGTCAGCTTTCCAAATTGTACAGTTCTTATTAGTCATGCTTATGCTCGTTCAATTTATCCGTTTATATTCATGATTAGTAGATTATCAGTAAATTTAGTGATGATTGACACTTAGTATCGGTTATCCGTCGCGAACCTATGCTAGATCGTGACAGTGCTTTAGCTACTATTTTCTGGAGTACCTGTAGTCTTTGAGTAACTAGATTAGTACACATGTTGGCACTTGGCAAAGGTTCATCCCATTGTTTAATATGTAAAAATTGTTATGCGTCATAGTTAATACTCCCTCCGTTTCAATTTATGTGAACCCATTTGATTGGGCACGAAATTTAAGAAAATATAGAAGACTTTTGAATTTGTGGTGTAAAATGAGGCATATATATTTTATGTGACTATAAATTATTGCATAAAGGTAAATTATTTCCAAATAAGGAAAGTGGTCATTTTTTTTGTACGGACTAAAAAGGAAATATGTTCAAATAAATTGAAACGGAGAGAGTATGTTTCTTTAATTTATTTTTTTACTATTCTTAATATATTTACTTTATAAATAGTCTCCTACTTATATCCAATAAATTATGGCGTGATTTCTTTAACTTTTCTAACTCAAACATAACTTTTTGATGATATTTATGTACTAATATTTTAAAAGTTTTATATTCATTAATATTGGAGTGCAGTCGCAACGTGCGTGCTCAAAAACTAATATATATATATATATAT